GGGGCAGGCGGCCTTCAGCCCTGCGCCCCACGCCAGCCCTGCCTCGAGGGCGTCCCGCTCCAGGGCAGATGTGTCAAGGGCGATAACAAATAGATGGAAAGGAGGTAACCAGCGAAACACTGGACCGGCGAAAGCAGGGGCAATACCCTGGGCGGGACGACTAGGCCCCCTAAGTGCGTTAACAGTGCCATCTGCGATTAATTCACGCAGATTCGTCTTTCCCAAGAGTTTTCAGGAGTTCGTCCCATCTGTCTTTGCACTGCAAGTAAGAGCAAAAAAGTAAAAAAGTACTATCGTTCCCGTTTTATATGCAAGAAGAACAGGGGTGCAGAAGGGTGGCCCGGGGGCCAAAGGAAAGAGCCGGGGCACGCGGGTCTGCATCCAGCAGCCCCCGGCTCCAGGGCCACGCCTCCTGGAGAGAAGCTGCCCTGCCGCATCCTTCCGTCTTCCTTCACCTGTTTGCAGGTTTTCTCAGAGGCACTGACATGAACAAAGTCGGCCGAGTGAGGTGTCACCACAGAAGTCTGGGTCCATCTGCACCCACGCCCCGCCGGGTGTGCCGCGGGGTTCCTGCTCTAGCGGGCGGGGCCCCGTGCAGCGCCCCCTGCAGGCCGCGGCGGCCCTGCCTCCTCCGGCTTTGCCCTCACAGCGGGCACTTCCCTCGGCCTGGCTAACAAATCTGTGTCTAAAAGGAATTGCAGTTGGCACAAAGGCAGCAATGCCAAAGTGGAATAATCACACGGACCCGGATCTGAATTGTTTTCCATCCTTGACAACAAATACTGTTACTCCAGAGCCTGCAGGCCAAGAGTTGAAATGAGTTTATAATTTGGCTTTCTGTCTCAGACTTACTCTCAACCACTTAAATTTTCTTCTCTGTCTTTATCATGCAGGGGGCAGCTCTGGAGGCTAAATCACCCACAGGGTCTTGATTGCTAGCCTTAATAAATTTTCTTTGCCTTCTAAATAAAAAGGGGAAAGAGCCCCATTATTCAAAACCACTCTTGTTTTAATAATGAAACTAAATAGACTGTCAGCTCATACCTCCATAGGATCATCAATAATCTAATTTGTTCTCACTCCAGCAACATGAAGAGAAATGTTTAGTTTTTCCATCTACACACTGTAGTTTACATTCATCCCGCCTCTCAGAGGCTGGTCCTAGGAAAGCCAAACTGCAGGTTAAGAGCCACCAGGTGGCTCAGCTCCTCCCTCTTTTTCTCCTAAAGAACTGATTCACACTCTGATCCTTGGCTCTGGGAAGTGCATTGTCTCCTTAGCATTTAGACACATCATGTTCCCCAAGAAGGTAATCATCTCAAGCTAGTAATGGAAAGAGACAGGAAGGCAGAACCACTGACAAGACTCCCTTAGAGATCACCATGGGAGGGGAAGTAGCATCACAGAGAATTACTGAAGGTGAACCACAGGTTTGCTAAGGAGACATGGGTGTGTTCAACTGGACATATCCCCCATTAGGAGAAAGGGAAGGAACCTCGACTGCACACCTAGAACGTTCCATACGCTGTGCTAGCTGCATTGCAGATGAACTCATTTGACCCCCATAACAATGTTTAGATACGTGCATTAATCGTCCCATTTTACAAATGGGGAAATGAGGCTCAAAGGTGTTAGGAAACCTTCCCAACTAGTACATGGTAAAACCAGGATTTTTCTGACTTCAAAACCTAAACTCTAAAATGAAAAAGGAAAGCAAGCCTTGACTTTTTCTGTTGTGCAACACAGCCTGATCTACAAGTACTAGCCCTCCTGTGTGGTTCTCTAACAGAGGCAGGCACTCGCTGCATTAAAGGGGTAACCTGGCAGAGGCTACCATTGCGGCGGTGGGAACACAGACCCTCCCCGCTCTCCTTAATCCCTCATCCTTCGTAAGAAATCACAGTGCCAAAAGCACACTCTTGGACAAGCCTTCCTGAGTATCAAAGAGACAGACAATAAGAATGTGCTAAAAATGAAAGCAAATTCCAGGAAAGCCACTGCAGGTACACAAAGAAGATACCGTACCTTGCTTTGTGCAATTCAGAAATAGTTCTCAGTAACAGTCCCTCAGTCTAAACACTTGTATCCAGGTCTGAGTTCCCCTTTCCTGTCATCTGATGCCCAGTGAGTGCTCGAGAGTTTGGCACAGAGTGAGGATTATAGAAGAGCTTCTGTGGTGGCTTCCTGAGTTTCAGTTACAGTAACGAGTGGGCCAGAAAAAGCAAGATTGTATGAGAGTGGCTGGGAGGCTGTCCATGGAAACATCACATACTTGGGTTTTGGAAATGTCTCAGCTGGGATTCCAAAGGTCGGGAAGTCGGCCCCACCCCACCCCACCCCACAGTATTAGTTTGACATACATCAGTTAGCAGTACCCCATACATAAGTCAGCTTTTCATCATGCTAAAGAAGACTACCAAACATTAACTACTGAAAACAGCAGGTGAAAATGAGGACACTGAGATCAAGAATATTTTAACAATCTAAGAAACGATTGTATTCAATGTACAATTAATAAGGGCAAGTTCCCAGCATTTTCATTTCCCAAGAACTTCAAAAACACGATTGGTTCAATGGTGCGGCACCACCCATCCCTGTGCCTTATAAGTTCCAAGGCTTCCTCATCTTCACACATGTAAATCTTTGAATTTTTATTTCATCAAAACCATATGTCAGATACATTGATTCCTGAAATGTGAAAAATAAGAAGGGAAGACGAAAAAGCCCTTTCATCATCAGCGTGCCTAAAACAACAAGTGAAAAGCACCAAGAGGCTAGATATGTGTCTGCCAACTAAAGCTGCCTGGTGAGATTTTTGTTTGTGCACATGTGGCTAATAACGTATATGTTTTTAAATCTTGATGTCTTTTCTTTGTATAAATCAGTGGAATCCTCTTTGTTATGGTGCTGGAAGACAGAGCAGGGTGAGGGTCAGGAACTGTGCAGTCAACTTCTAAATTTATCTTTCTCAAGAATATGTTTCAGAAAAGGAAGTGCTCTTGGATGCTACACATTACAAATCACATGTTGCTATATTCTTGACCACGTTCCTTCCACATTAAATAATTTTACTGAGGACAGTAGGTTTCAGGGCACAACTAACTTTAAAAGTTATGAGTTCTTCCCCAAAATGTTGTTCTCTGTCATTCTGTGAAATGAAAAACGGGATGTCTGTGTCCCGGTCTCATGTGCACGGGAGCAGACCAAATGAGAAGATTCCTGTTTCTTATTCCGGGTTCTTTCAGTGCAGGTCACTATTATTTTCTTAACTTCAATTTCTCACTCTGACAAATGGGGATAATCTCAGATCCTTAAGACTATGAACAAAATTAGCTTACTAATTGTCTGAAGTCTCTTTTTAAATGTATGCATTTGTTATTACCTTCAAGGTTATCAAATAACACTTCTCTTATATTCCAAAGATTTATCAAGTGCCTTCCAAGCTAGGCAACGGGGTCCCTATGAATTACCTCTCTGAACCATCTTCAGGTTATCAACTCGGGAACCACTAACATGATGAAGAATGAAATGACTCACACGATACCAATAATATGCTGCTAAGGGCATAAAGAAAGTCTGATTTGGATTGGAGAGGAACAGAGTAATATCTAGTCTCCTGGAAAGGAACAAAACTGCTCTGTTTGCCATTGGTTGTGAGACCAATAACCCAATCTTTCTCCTAAATCAGTAAAGATACAGGCAGAGAGCTGTTTTGCAGTATACAGTCTG